GACAACTCTTTTTCAACCAAATTCAGTTCTCTGGTTGCCTTATTGTGTTTAGCTGTGATATCAATCTTATCCAACATCCGTAAAGCACATGGCCTAACAAGTTTTAACAGCACAAGGGCTAACAAATTCTAAATTCAGACAACAAGTCTTGTTAGCCCTTGTGCTGTTAAAACTTGTTAGGCCATGTGCTTTACGGATGTTGGATAAGATTGATATCACAGCTAAACACAATAAGACAACCAGAGAACTGAATTTGGTTGAAAAAGAGTTGTCTCGAAACGAACAACCACTCGAGATGTTCGTGTCGCTCACCTTCCGTATTTGACGTCCTGTGTTCTGAAAACATAGAAATTATAAACATCATCAAGCGTCAATTCTGTACTAGTTATTATTGTCTACTCATTGTGATTTGTGAACTTTACAGCAATTTTTCATCATTATTATTGTACTGCTTTGAATTGCTGGTCCCCCTTGTATATATTCAGCTGCTGTGTGAGACAGGATGCTGGACTAGATAGTCGACTGGACTGATCCAGCAGGGCTCTACTTAGGTTCTTCTCAAGGGAAGGCCTCGGCCTATCTGCCCTGCTCTATATGTTTATCCAGTCCCCTCTTGAAGCCGTCCATGCTTGCAGCCGCCACCACCTCCTGGGGCAGTGAATTCCACGGGTTCATGACTCTTTGGGTGAAGAAGGACTTCCCTTGATCTATTCTAAGCCTACTGCTCATCAATTTAATGCCCACGAGTTCTTGTATTGTGAGAAAGGGAGAAAAAGTACTTCTTTCTCTACCTTATCTGTAATGTATTCAATAAGCTGCCATTGAATGCATAATGTGTGATGAAAACATCTAATTGAAATGTCATGTTAAGCTTCGTCCTGGGCTAGGTTCCAAATACATCCAATCACATTGCTAGCCCAGGAAGAACCAACCAATCACTTGTCAGCAAGCTCCCTGAGCGGGAACGTCCATGATTGGTCCTTATGTATGCAACCTTATTGGTTGGTATTTGTACAGTAGGCGTGGCTACATTAGCCGGGAAAGTTTAAAAGCAGGACAGCTGCAATGTAAAAGCTGTTCTGGCTATCAGATGTTGATCCATGTTGGAGTTGTGTTTGAGTTGTGGAATAAAGCTGAATCGTTGCTGAATCACTCTCCGACTACTTTGTTAAGCGAACGACTTAACATTATCTATTCCACACATAATTCTGTAAACCTCTATCATGTCACCCTCCAGTCATTGCTTCACCAGGTTCTTGAGACTTGGCCACGACTCACCACGAATTGGAGAAGACTCCATAGAGCGTCCGGCCTTCTTTGAGGAGAAAGGCGTCCCGGAGGCGATGGAAGCGCTTCGGGTCTCTGGGATGTCCACAGACCAGCCTGGCCTTCAGGAAGGTGGTCCATGAATCCGTCAGCATGCTCCTCCCACCGTCATCCGCCTAGGGAGAGGGAAACAGAACGCCAATCGTTGAGAAACGGACTAATTTATGGTTTTATATCTGCTTACACATGCAACACATGGACTGTGCACACACCTGTATACCATGGGCCTAGAGGAAGCTGTTTGCATCACCTACTGTGTGAGAGAGATTTCACATAGGAAACACCAGGGCTTTTTTTGTAGAAAAAGCCCAGCAGGAACTCATTAGCATAATAGGCCACACCCAACAACAGAAACTCATTAGCATATCCAGCAACACCCCGACAGCACAGCTCATTAGCATATTAGGCCACACCCCTACATTACCAGAAGTATGGTCATCCAGCCACACCCACCTTTCGCTTCTTATTCTGTTTACCTTGTTTGTTGTCAAAACCTAGGGCTTTTTTGTAGCAGGAACTCCTTTGCATGTTAGGCCACACACCCCTAATGTAGCCAATCCTAATGAGTTTCTGCTGTTGGGTGTGGCCTATTATCCTAATGAGTTCCTGCTGGGCGTGGCCAACTCAGGAGCCAGCCGGAACTCCGTTCCTGTGCGTTCCTGTGAGAGATTTCACATAGGGAACACTTGTCTGCATTTCATGTTAATGTAGTTTCCACACATTCAGCTCAAAGCCTTATGGGAAGGAGAAGCACATGTCAGCCATTGTGGGCAGAGACAACAACCAAGAAGGAGAAATTCCCCCATTGCTGAGGAGACTAGATGTCACGCAGAACATGGACCTGATCTGCATCTGAATTGCCGTTTCCTGTTAATGGTGCTTTGTTCGCCTGGTAAAGCCAAGATTCATCTGCACATCAAGGAGAGCACAGGAAGGCGAGACTTCACACCTGGCCACGTGGTGTTCCATGAGATAGAGTGTAGAGTTTCAAATATTGCCCCACCCATAGAATACCTGCCCCTTTCTACATGCACCAATGAAGGAGGTCATGGGATGGACTTGTAAGTAGATGGGATTACAGTTTGGCAAGGTGCCACCCACCTGGAGATTCAACTATAAAAGTAAAGCCCAAACTCTAGGTCTTTGCTAGCCACATCCCTTCTCAACGTCCTCTATCTTCTTTTCTACCCCTAAGGTCCAGCTTCCTATCAAACAATCCTTTTGTCTACTTTAAGATCTCTTGGACTGCAGCCAAAGAGGTCCATACTTTGCTGGCTGGTTCTAGCAAGTGTGATTTAGTTAACACCCCTAGGTATTACTCTCTTCCCCTATTTTACATTGCATCAGACAAGACTTCTGGAACAGGCAAGTATGAACTGCAATATATACCTACCTACCTCCAAGTAACTGAGAAACTATCTTGATATTCTCTCTGTAATTCCAAAGGAACCTTGAGTGTATGCGAATGTGAGACTGATTTTGTATGTGTGATTTTGATATTGCTCAGTAAAAAGTCTATTTGTTTTGGAAAAACACCAGTCTCGTCTCCATCACTGGTACTCTCTGGTGCAGGCACAACCTCCGTAAACTTTGGCAAGGACTCACGTTAAATTTAGTTAGCCATCTGCTGTAAATAAAGCGATTGGCGGAACACACCGGTGGGCTGCAGTCCACAAACCTTTCGTGGTGGAGGGCGCCGGCAGAGCAGACTCCAGAAGTCTGTGGGCTGATGCTGCAGAGGATGCCAAAATTCCTGGATATTTGGGGCATGGAATAGGGTTGCCAACTTAAGACTGATACATTCCTGGAGATTTGGGTGGGCGGGGCCTGAGGAGAGTGAGGTTTGAGGAGGGGAAGGAACTCAGCAGGGTATAATACCGTAGAGTCCGTACTCCAAAACAGCCATTTTCTCCAGGGGAACGGAACTCTATAGTCTGGAAATCTGTTGTAATTCCAGATCTCCAGACCCCACCCAGAGGATAATACAAAAACTGAGGGTCACAGAGTTAGGAAGATATGGAAAAGTCTACGACACTGTGCATAATAGATGTATGCTTACAGGGGTCATTTCGTAGAAAAAGAGGTGCAGGAGCTCATTAAAATAACTCGTTAGCATAACTTATTTGCATGTGCCACGCCCCCTGACATCACCGGAAGTGTGTCAGAAGGCAACACCCACTGCTCAGGCTCCACTGGACTGTTTTGGATTGCTAGCTATTGGGGGGGGGGGAATGTGCAGATCTGTCCTCGCAGAGGAGGGAGAGCTTCTACCTGAAGGCGGGCTGGGGGGAGGGCTCTGCAACTTACCTGGCTGCTTACCTGGCTGCTTCTTGCTCCTCGTGGCCCAACTGAGGGCTGCTGGGAGCAGGGGGTGGGGCTTGTTGCATGTGCCCACCCCCTGGGCTCCTTACTGCTGGCGCTCCGCTCCTGGGTGCTCCCGGAGGAAATGACCCCGATCTATTTTGCGCTTTTTATTTTTTAATTTTTTCTATGCTGTTATATAAATATTGGTGTCAAGTATTACCATACATAGGTTTCATCCAAACAGTACGTCCAAGTGCAGGTTTACAGTATGTTCAAACATTCCAACGGCACCTTGACAGTTTCACAGTTGCTAGTCTCACGGGGCTCTAGCGATTTACCCGTATCGAATACCGTCTTTTTCAAGGACAATGATGTACATACAGGACATGAAGGCGCAATAAATTCTCTTTGTGAGTATAAAACTCTTAAAACAGCAGCATATTTTCTAGGGTCCCATCCAACGCTCCCTCTAAGCTGTGGAATCCACCCTGGGGGTGTGGGGGAGAGGTATTTGTGAATTGTCTGCATTGTGCAGAGGTGCTCCCTCTAAGCCGGGGAGTCTTGTGAGCAGAACTTCTACTTTGTGAGCTGCCGGCATTAAAGTTGTGAGTGAAGGATTTGGCTCCTGCATAAATTAGTCTGCTCTGGAGCCATCCTTCCTAAGGTAAGACAAAAATGTGTGACATGGAGGCTAAAAAACTGTGAGTTAGCTCACACTCACTCAGCTTAGAGGGAACACTGGTTGGACCTCGATGACCCCTGGAGGCCCCTTCCAACTCTATGACTCTATGATTCTGATTACCAGCCACAACAAAGATCTCTCTAGAGATGTTATAAGAGACGAGAAAGGCAGCGACGTGTGACGGCCTCACCTCCTTGTAGCCCTGCACCTGAGATAGACATAAAGGGAGGCTGGCACTCTGTGTGAGCAGAGAAGGGGGCACCCCAAAAGTCCTTTCCACAAAAAACCCGAGGCCCCGCCTCCCTTCCCGTACCTTGCACACACGCCCGATCTGCGCTTTGTAAGGTTCGTCATCCAGGCTGGCACTCTGGTTGACCTCGTTGTAAAAGAAGTAGATTTCTTCGTTCACTGTACTGCTCTCTGCCAGCAGGGCGGCGCTGACAAATTCCGCCTCTGGAACGAAAGCGAAAGCGGTCCTGTCATGATCTGGGCTGTGCCACCAGAGGCCTACTAGGCCCAGGGAGCCAGGCTAGCGGTAGGTGAGGCTGGGCCTACAACTCCCAGAAGCCCCTGAGAGGTTTTGGAGCCAAAATTGACCAATAAGGAAGAAGAGGGCTGGGGAACAAAAGGGCTGGTGCCAGCGCAGAAGCTGTTCTTTCTTCCAGAGGGCGGAGCCAGAAGGAAGGCTGCTGTGGGAAGAAATCCTCATCCTGAGGGAAGGGTGAGTAGTCTAGTGTCACTTGGAATAGTGAGCTAGGGACAGTATATATTTAGACGCATTAGGGTATTTGATTTCTTTTCTTTTCACCCACTTACTGTTATTATTCTGCACCTTGTTGTTTGACCTCCTATAAAATAAACCTTTTCCTTGTTTCACTCTGCCTGGTCCTCAGGCCTAGGGTTGCCAAGTCACTTACCTCGTGTGGCGGGGGAGTCCTTGTCCCCTCCTGGGACATTCGTGTGGGCTCATAGTGCGTGTGCGCCGCTGTGACACCACCCGGAAGGGACGTCATCACGCCGGGGGCGTCACCAGCCGACGCTCTACCAGTTGCCCAAAAAACTCTATGGTACCATAGAGTTTGGGGCAACTGCTAGAGCGTCGCCTGGTGACGCCCCCGGTGTGATGACGTCACTTCTGGGTGGCGTCATCATGCTGGGGGCGTGGGCCTGATCCGGCCGTTTCGGGGGTGGGGTTCCCCCCGGCGGCCTGATCCCCCTGGCAAGCCTATTCACGCCTGTTATTCGGCCAAAAGGGAAGTCTGAAGGTCTTGGGAGGGGGCTCTGGGCCTTCTCAAGGGAACCTAAATCCAGAGTGGTGGCAGCGTCAGGGGACACCCCACCTGAGCCGTGACAGAACCAGAGTAAGGAACGAAATTGCATCGTGAGACTGAGAAGTCCAATCGGCCCAGCGGCAAACAAGGCGCAGAATGAGGTTCTCTTCCCGGCCTTCGCTGGAAAATTTAGAATTTATTTACTATTTAAAGACGGCTGTGCCGCCCTTCCCCCCAAATAAGGTCCCCACGGTGGCGAATGGCAACACATTAAAAAAAAACATTTAAAACATTAAAGCAGCATTTAAAATATTTAAAAATTCCATAAAAACACATCTAACCTTGAAAACCAGGGAGAAGGGCCTATAACAGTTATTGGGGGCATGCCAAAGAAAACAGAAAAGGCTTCGCCCGTTGGCAAAAGACAACAGTAGAGGGAGACAGACAATGGAGAGCAGCTCAATATGTATAAATTGCATAGATACAGAATGTATTTTTGCATTATGTATTATGTATCTATGCAATTTATATATATTGTTTGATTGTTTATCCTCGTGTGTATGCCTTCAATTTGCATTTAGTCCCACTGCAGCCTATAAAAGCTTTTTGGATTTCTAGATTATATGGATCCTTCTGGAACTACATGAGTCCACTCTATGATGAATGCATGCCAAGTTGGACTATGGAATTATAATACAATAAGAAGAGGGACCTGTGATACTCGCCGGGGGGGTATTTCCCCCGGCTCCCCTCCTGCAGAAGCAGGAGGACCTCAGGGTGGAGGAGGAAGTGGCCACAGGAAAGTCCCCCCCCCCGGCTCCGGCAGTGAGGCCTGAGCAGCTTCCAGCCGTCGGGCCTGTCGATCCCCTTCTCTCCCCAGCTCCTCCACCGATCTCCCCCCCCCCGGATATGGCGGCAAGGCCTGAGCGGCTTCCAGCTGCTGGGCCCACCAATCTCCGCCCCCCGATCCCCCCCCCCCCGCGGTGAGGACTAAGCGGCTTCCAGCCGCTGGTCACCCCCGAGTTCCCAGAGCGTTCCCTGCGCATGTGCATGCACGGAACGCTCCTTTACTTTTGGGGGGATTTAAATACCCCCCCTATAAGTTGTTTCAACTTCTTAGATTTTCCTGCACATCTGGGGATTGCCCCAAATGTGCAGGAAAATCTCCCTGCCCCCCAGGTGCCCCCATGTGAGGATTCAGATATCCGCACGCAGGGGGCACCTTGGCTATTAGATATATAGATAGGAGTGAGCAGGGGGGGTTGTAGAAAAAGCCCAGCAGGAACTCATTAGCATAATAGGTCACACCCAACGGCAGAAACTCATTAGCATATTAGGCCACACCCCTGACAGCAGAGCTCATTAGCATATTAGGCCACAACCCCATGTTACCAGAAGTGTGGTCATCCAGCCACACCCACCTTTTGCTCCTTATTCTATTTACCTTGTTTGTTGTCAAAACCCAGGGCTTTTTTGTAGCAGGAACTCCTTTGCATGTTAGGCCACACACCTCGAATGTAGCCAATCCTAATGAGTTTATGCTGTTGGGTGTGGCCTGTTATGCTAATGCGTTCCTGCTGGGCGTGGCCAACTCGGGAGCCAGCCGGAACTCCGTTCCTGTGCGTTCCTGCCCAAAAATAGCCCTGGTGAGACACATTGACATTTTTGGGACTCTGCACTACTGATCTTTACTTTTCTGTACCACTGTTGGTTCTTGTAAGAATACCTTGGCTTCATATATGGTTATTGTGTTAGTGAACTTGGCATTAAATAATATATATATATGTATATTGTTCATCTTAAGTGATTTCAGCCAGTGGTCTCTTGTGTTTTGCAGTATTTCATGTACACTGGTTCCCCTCCTTTTCTTTGGTTCCCATCAGTGGGACAGCAAGAAGAAGAAGAGGAGATTGGATTTATACCCTGCCCTTCACTACCCGAAGGTGTCTCAGAGCGGTTTACAAACTCCTTTCCCTTCCCCTCCCCACAGCAGACACCCTGTGAGATAGGCGGGGCTGAGAGAGCTCTGACAGGAACGGCTCTTTTTCAAGAACAGCTCTTATCAGAGCTACGGCTTACCCAAGGTCATCCAGCCAGGTGCAAGTGGAGGAGTGGGGAATCAAACCCGGTTCTCCCAGATTAGAGTCCGCCCACTTAACCGCCACACCAAACCGGCAATCCTACAAGGCAGTCATTAAGATATTGCTTCATATACAGTGAGTGTAGCATAATATAGTGAAAGGAAGCTGATTTTTACTTTAAAAAAACAACAATGAAACGTTGCTCTTTTCAAGGTTCTATGTTCAGGACTCTCTATCAAAACTACTCATGGGAAAAGGGAAAGATGGTCAATGGTGTCTCCTTACTGGCCAGCCAATTGTCGTCGGTCTTGATCAACTTTTGGGTCCCATACGCGTAGCTCCTCTGTATGACGCTCTTGGTTCCCGACAATGCCGAATAAAGGTTGCCGTCTGAAATGTTAGCGGGGGAGGGGGAGGCACACAAGTCAGCCATCTTCCAGCTCCAAAATGTCAACACAGGGCAAATAACCTTTAACAATTCTTGTTCACTCACTTAAAATCTCATCTCTGCAACTAGAAACCCTTTTTAAAGAAATGGCCAGGGAGCATTTTAAGAAGCACCGGTCGTTCGGCACAGAAAAGTCTTGGGGACAAGGCTCCCTCTAAGCTGTGGAGTGTTGTGAGGAAAAATCCGACCTTGTGAGCTACTGGCGTTAAAGCTGTGAGCGAGCGATGTGGCTCCTGCATGCATTCGTTTCCTCTGGAGCCCCCCCTTCCTGAGCTCAGACCAAAAAAAGGGTGAGCCAGAGGCTAAAAAACTGTGAGCTAGCTCACACTCACTCAGCTTAGAGGGAACACTGCTCTGGAGCCCTCCTTCCTGAGCGAAGACAAAAATGTATGAGCCGGAGGCCAAAAACTGTGAGCTAGCTCACACTAACTCAGCTTAGACGGAACACTGCTCTGGAGCCCTCCTTCCTGAGCAAAGACAAAAACGTGGGAGCCGGAGGCTAAAAAACTGTGAGCTAGCTCACAGCAACTCAGCTTAGAGGGAACACTGCTCTGGAGCCCTCCTTCCTGAGCAAAGACAAAAATGGGTGAGCCGGAGACTAAAAAACTGAGCTAGCTCACACTAACCCAGCTTAGAGGGAACACTGCTCTGGAGCCCTCCTTCCTGAGCGAAGATAAAAATGTATGAGCCGGAGACTAAAAAACTGAGCTAGCTCACACTAACTCAGCTTAGAGGGAACACTGCTCTGGAGCCCTCCCTTTCTGAGCTCAGACCAAAAAAAGGGTGAGCCAGAGGCTAAAAAACAGTGAGCTAGCTCACACTCACTCAGCTTAGAGGGAACACTGCTTGGGTAAGGGTCGAGAGGGGCCGATGAAGGCCACTTGCTGGTGTGAGAGACGGCTACATTTCTGATGGCTGCAATCTGGTAGGATTTGTTTTCAGTTCTCATCTATGGTTGCGACGATAAGATGATAAAGAAGGAGGCGGGTGGATCAGAGGCGAAGTCCTTCTAACCCAGCATTCTGCTTCCAACAGCAGTCAGCCAGACGACGCCAGAAGGCAGCGTATGAACACCATCGCTTGCTCCCTTTTCCTTTATATTCCTTTAAAAATTGCTTTGTTAATATTGAGAAGGAGAAGAAGAGGAGGAGGAGGCGATTGGATTTATACCCCGCGCCCTTCACTACCTGAAGGAGTCTCAGAGCACTTTACAATCTCCTTTCCTTTCCCCTCCTGACAACAGGCACCCTGTCAGGTCGGTGGGGCTGAGAGAGCTCTTGAAAGAAACTGCTCTTTTTCAAGAACAGCTCTGCCAGAACAATGGCTTGCCCAAGGTCATCCAGCCAGGTGCAAGTGGAGGAGTGGGGAATCAAAACCAGGTCTCCCAGATTAGAGTCCACGGACTTAACCACCACACCAAATAGAAGAAGTAGAAGAGGAAGAGGAGGAGGAGGAGGAGATTGGATTTATACCCCGCTCTTCATTACCTGAAGGAGTCTCAGAGCGGCTTACGGTCTCTTTTTCCTCCCCCTCCCCACAACAGATACCCTGTGAGGTAGGTGGGGCTGAGAGAGCTCTTTCCAGAACTATGGCTTGCCCAAGGTCAGCCAGCAGCTGCAAGTGGAGGAGTGGGGAATCAAACCCAGTTCTCCCAGATTAGAGTCCACACACTTAAACCACTACACCAAACAGAAGAAGAAGAGGAGGAGGAGGAGGAGATTGGATTTATACCCCGCCCTTCACTACCCGAAGAAGTCTCAGAGCAGCTTACGGTCTCCTTTCCCTTCCCCTCCCCACAACAGACAGCCTGGGAGGTAGGCGGGGCTGAGAGAGCTCTCTTGAGAGAACTTGTGACTGACCCAAGGTCACACCAGCAGGTGCAGTTGGAGGAGTGGGGAATCAAACCCAGTTCTCCTTACCCACTGCGATGGTCACGGCAGTTTGAGATGGAAAGGCAGGGACGATGTTTCCGGCATTGAGTTTGACCGTGTGGCTTTCGTAATAGGTGTTGTTGTTGTCCTAGGAGGAAAGAAAGAACTAAGGAAGGGAGTGTCTCATGACTAGGGTCACACCAGCCTCCAGGTGGGGACCCATCCTGTCGATGAACTGTGCCCCAGCGGCTCAGTCAAATATGTGAATACTGGCTCCATCAGCGGCAGTTTTGTATAGAAGAAGAAGAGGCGATTGGATCTATACCCCGCCCTCCACTACCCGAAGGAGTCTCAGAGCGGCTTACAAACTCCTTTCCCTTCCCCTCCCCACAACAGACACCCTGGGAGGCAGGTGGGGCTGAGAGAGCTCTGACAGAAACAGCTCTTTTTCAAGAACAGCTCTTGTCAGAACTACGGCTTGCCCAAGGTCATCCAGCAGCTGCAGGTGGAGGAGTGGGGAATCAAACCCGGTTCTCCCAGATTAGAGTCCGTGCACTTAACCACTACACCAAACTGGCTCTCAGTAACAACGACAGATCTTGTGTTTGGGTGAGAGGAGACTGAGACTTGCCAGTTCTTGGAATAAAAGGACTTCGGCAGGGCCTTCTCCCCTCTGGCTCCTCGCAGTGGCAGATCGTGCCAGTCCCTTTCGGATAGCCCCCCCAGGCCATGGGCCCACCGAGACTTCTCCCAGTGACCTTAATGGCCAATCCAACCCTGCCCATTGGTACCACCAGACTGTACACTCAAGAACTAACAATGTACTTTCTGGACACAGGACCCGTACCTTAATCCCTCATATTAGAAGAGATGAGAAGAGATTGGATCTATACCCCTCCCTTAACTCAGAATCTCAGGGAGGAGTTCAGATGGGGCTGACAGAAACTGCTCTTGAGAGAACAGCTCCGAGGGAGCTTGTGACTGACCCAAGGTCACACCAGCAGCTGCATGTGGAGGAGTGGGGGAATCAAAGCCGGTCCTCCCAGATTAGAGTCTGCGCACATAACCACTACCCCAAACCAGCTATTCAAGGCAAATCTGAGATCTATGGACTCACAAGAAGCCAGCACTTGGGGGAAGCCGCATTGGTGCCGCAGACGATGATGTTTGTGGCGTTCAGCCTCTGGATCACCTGGATGAAGTTGTGGCACTCCTTCTAGAAGACAGCATGAGAGCAGTGAGGGAACAGCACAGCAGCCAATGGTAATACCAAGTTCTGCCCATTGGTGGTGCTGCAGTGCGGCTGAGATTGGGCTACAATCTCTCTCCACACCCAAAAGCATAGAACAAGACACCTCCCTCCAAGAGACTTCTAAAACCCAGGAATATTGCCACCCTCTGATTTGGGCCACCCCATCTTCCTCCTCACCTGGTTGGCCCCTGGCTTCTTCTTGCAGTTCTGCTTCACCTTTTCGTCAGCACTCAGCTGTATCTGAAGCATCAGAGGAAAAGGGAACATCTGTCAGATCCTCACGACAGAAGCCAAAAACAAGAGATCACGGGAGGAAGTGGAATTCCAAAACCAACATCCGTGACAAAAATAACGAAGAGTCCATAAAGATAAGTCACAAAAACATTTACTGTAGTAATTCTGTAGAAAGTTATCTGCTATTATCGCTCCCACGCTAACGAATACTGTGCAACGAACAATTATTTTCAGGATATTTGCTTTATCTGAGCATGCAGCAATCCCTGTTCTTATCAGTTACTACTTATCAACTCTTGAAGGAAACATTCCATGTTGACTCTCTAATAACAGAACCCAAGGTCTTCACAAACATGGAATGTCTCCTTCCCCTCCCCACAACAGACACCCTGTGAGGTCGGTGGGGCTGAGAGAGCTCTTTCAAGAACTGTCCTTGAGATAACAGCTCTGACCAGAACTATGGCTTGCCCAGCAGGTGCAAGTGGAGGAGTGGGGAATCAAACCTGGTTCTCCCAGATTAGAGTCCGCGCACTTCACCACCGCACCAAACCGGAAACATGGAAACATAGAAACCATGGAGCTGGAAGGGACTCCAAGGGTCGTCTAGACCAACCCCTGCACAGTGCAGGGAGTGTATGAATACCCCCCCCCGCTCTCCTAGTGACCCCTGCTCTATGCCCGGAGGAAGGCCAAAAGCCTCCAGGATTCCTGGGCCCCTGCCCTCCCTCTCAAGATCTGCCGAAGTTCACAGAATCCGCATGGCTGTCAGAGGGCCATCTAGCCTCTGCTTAAAAAAACCTCCAAAGGACAGCCCACCACCTCCCGAGGGAACCTCCTTCCACTGAGGAACTGCCCTAACTGTCAGCAAAGTTCCTCCTATTGTTTAGCTGAAAAATCTCTTGGTTTAAGTCCAAACCTTTGGGAGTCAAACTCTGCTCCAGTAGCAAGAAATGGTTCTGTGGATCTGGGGATCCAAACTGTCTTTCTAACTCTCCCTTCGCCCACCCTCCCGTTGTAGTCGGTCGGACTGTACGGGCAGGGGTCATTTCCTGCGGGAGCGCACAGGAGCGGAGCTCCAGCAGTAAGGAGCGCAGGGGGCGGGCACATGCAACAAGCCCCACCCCCTGTTCCCAGCAGCCCTCAGTCAGAGCAAGAAGCAGCCAGGTAAGTTGCACAGCCCCCCCAACCTTCAGGTACAAGCTCTCCCTCCTCTGTGAGGGAAGATCTGTGCGCCCCCCCCCCCATAGCTAGCAATCCAAAACAGTCCAGTGGCACCTTTAAGACCAAGTTTTATTCAGGGACAAGCTCTCCCTCCTCTGTGAGGACAGATCTGCACGTTCCCCCCCCCACAATAGCTAGCAATCCAAAACGGTCCAGTGGAGCCTGAGCAGTGGGTGTTGCCTTCTGACACATTTCCGGTAACGTCAGGGGGTGTGGCCTATGTAAATAAGTTATGCTAATGCGTTATGCTAATGAGATCCTGCGCCTCTTTTTCTACGACATGACCCCTGTGTACGGGGCCAGGATCTCACCCGTGTCGGAGTGACCATGGAATCCTGAAACGTTAAGATCCACAGCTGCTCACGGCCCCCGATGAAGAGCTGGTCGGAACCGGCGTCGTGGAAAAGGACCATGAGTTCTGCTTCTTCCACAAAGCTGGCATTCAGACTATCTGAAGAGAGACGGGACAAAACCGGGGCCGGTATTAAAACTCAGCTCGACATACGTGCAGAGAATGATCTAGGCTGCGTCACCCGCGGTCTGGCCGAGTAGCGGCAGACTCAGCACGGCTGCCAACTCCAGGTTGGGAAATTCCTGGATGTTTGGGGGTGGAGCCCGGGGAGGGCGGGGTTTCGGGAGGGGGAGGGACCTGAGCAGGGTAGATCTGCCACAGACTCCACCCACCAAAGCAGTCATTTTCTCTGGAGGAGCTGATCTCTGCTGTCTGGAGATCAGTTGCGATTCCAGGAGATTCGGCTTGATGTGGAGATGGATACATTTTTAATGGGCTCTCACCAGAGGGCTTCCAGCCCCACCCCCAAGAGCGACCACCCGCCCGACCTCCCCTCTCAAACCCCTCCTGCCCAGTTTAAAGGGCTTCAGCTGAATGGCAGGGACCACGCGGCCCGCCGACCAGCTGGAGGGCCCTTTAAATCTAGCGGGAGGGAGAGAGAGGGGCGGTCGTGAGCCACATGCTCGGCTCGCAAAAAGGCCCTTTAAAGCAGGGGTGTCGAACTCATTTGTTATCAGGGCCGGATCTGACATAAATGAGACCTTGTTGGGCCGGGCCGTGTGTGTCATAAAACGTAGTGCCAGTCAGCAGAGATAGAAAATTTATAAAGGACACAAAGGTTTTTTTTTAAAAAAACTTAAAATAAAAACAGGCTTAAAACATGAGCACTCTTGCAATACTTTGTTGATTTGACAGTGTCTGATAACGGACACCTCCACCTCTGAATTATTGCATCAAAATGTCTGTGCTGTTGCAATCCTGAGTGTGCTGTTCAGGTGTGTATCTCTAAGCTGCAGACTTACGATGATGCAGCAGCAGCAGAACTGGAAGAAGCAGAAGACAGCCAGTTTCACTGCAGGCCTGATAGAAGTCCTCTGGGGGCCTGATGCGGCCCCCGGGCCACATGTTTGACACCCCTGCTTTAAAGGGTCTTTCTGTAAGCGGGGTGCGGGCCAGAGTGCACAAGGCTGATTTCCCCGATTTTGGGGGCTCCGCTGCCGGCCAACTGGCCGGCAGGGAACCCCACCTCCAAACAGCCCCCTCCCACACTGACATTGTCAGCGTGATGTCATCACCCAGAAGTGACATCATCATTTTGGGCACGTCATGCAGTGACACTCTAGCATTTTGGCTGAGACTCTATGGCTACCATCAATGCTCCCTCTAAGCTGTGGAGTCTTGTAAGCAGAAATCCTACTTAGTGAGCTACCGGCATTAGAGTTGTGAGCCAGCGATTTGGCCGCTGCATCAATTAGTCGGCTCTGGAGCCCTCCTTCCTGAGCTGAGACAAAAAGGTGGGAGCCGGAGGCTAAAAACAGTGAGCCAGCTCACACTCACTCAGCTTAGAGGGAACACTGGTTACCATAGAGTTTTTGGCAAGAAGATCCCAGGATGGACCCGGAGCCCCCCGCTAAAAGCCAGGTAAGACCTGGCAACTCTAAACCCTACGGCCATCTGCACTGCATAGGGTGCCCGAGTGGCTCGGCTGAGAAGGTAAAATCTCCTCCTCCATCTGTCTCGGGGGTCCTCGATATGGTGACTGTGGCCGCCATTTTGCCCCCCCCCACACCTTTCCCAGTGCCCACCAAGCGTTTTCAGAAAGCAGGCAGGGCCAGGTGAGGCCATTGGAGATTTGATTGGCTGTGGCACTGTGCAGATTTTTATGGCGGCAACACAGCCAAAACTCAAGGATCGTCATGTTGTAACTGAAGGTAAACTGCAGCGGCCATTTTTGTGGCTGGCTCTACTTCCTGTGGTTGGCTCCACCTCCACCATCTGGTGGAACGCTCTGTCCGATGAGACCCGGGCCCTGCAAGACCTGAAACAATTTCGCAGGGCCTGTAAGAGCCGGTTTGGTGTAGTGGTTAAGTGTGTGGACTCTAATCTGAGAGAACCGGGTTTGATTCCCCACTCCTCCACTTGCACCTGGCTGGATGACCTTGGGCAAGCCGTAGTTCTGATAAGAGCTGTTCTTGAAAAAGAGCAGTTTGTGTCAGAGTTCTCTCAGCCCCACCCACCATACAGGGTGTCTGTTGTGGGGAGGGGAAGGGAAAGGAGTTTGTAAACCACTCTGAGACTCCAAGTGAAGGGCGGGGTATAAATCCAATCTCTTCTTCTTCTAAAATGGAAGACGAAGAGGAGGAGGAGGAGGAGGAGGAGGAGGAGGAGGAGGAGGAGATTGGATTTATACCCCACCATTCACTACCCGAAGGAGTCTCAGAGCGGTTTACGATCTCCTTTCCCTTCCACTCCCCGCAACAGACACCCTGTGAGGTAGGTGGGGCCGAGAGAGCTCTCTCGAGGACTGCCCTTGAGAGAACAGCTCTGAGAGAACTTGTGACTGACCCAATGTCACACCAGCAGCTGAATGTGGAGGAGTGGGGAATCAAACCCGGTCCTCCCAGATTAGAGTCCGCGCTCCTAACCACGATACCAGACTGGCTCTCAAGAGAGTTGTTCCACCAGGCATGTGGTCGAGGATGAGTGGCGGTCCCCTCCATGAACCAATTCCAGGTCTGCTATCTATGACGGAATTGTTAACATCAGGATTGTTCATTTGAATCTGAACCATAATTAATCTAATTGTATGTTGATTCAGAGGACGGCGGAAGACAGGAAGGCCTGGCGTGATCTGGTCCATGGGGTCGCGAAGAGTCGGACTCGACTGTGCGACTGAACAACAACAACGTTGATTTTAAACGTTGCCACCCTGAGCTTTACCGCTTATAGCCCTATAAGTCCACAATAAATAAAATAAATTCCGCAGGTTCCCTTGGGCTCACACCAGCCGGGGACCCCAGATCTATCTCTTAGCAACGAGTCTTCGCCTTTGGCAGAATTGGCTGGAGTTCAGATTGTGCCTGAAACCTTCTCCTTAACGGCAGGAAAAAAAATGAAGCTCTGGGAATCAAGATCTTTTGGAAATGGCACTTTGGCATTGTGGAGCCTCTCTGCCATTCTTCCGTGGGCAAGAAACGCAGGCGCTTTGCACAAGGGCAGGGACATTTGCACAAATCGTTCAGACGTTCGTGATTGCGAGCTTCACCCAGGGAGCTGCCCGGGCACAAACCCAGTGATTCTAAGGGGAGACTAACAAAATCGCCAGATCAATGCGCAGTTAAAAAATAATGATGATGATATGGGAGATGGATAGGGTTGCCAAATCCAGGTTGGGAATTCCTGGAGGGTTTTGGGGTGGAGCCTGGAGAGGGCAGGGTTTGGAGAGGGGGAAACCTCAGAGGGGTATAATGCCCAGGGGTCATTTCCCGCGGGAGCGCACAGGAGCGGAGCTCCGGCAGTAAAGAGCCCAGGGGGCGGGCACATGCAACAAGCCCCGCCCCCTGCTCCCAGCAGCCCTAAGTCAGAGCAAGAAGCAGGCAGGTAAGTTGCAGTGCCTCCCCAGTCCAAAACAGTCCAGTGGCACCTTTAAGACCAAGTTTTATTCAGGTACCAGCTCTCCCTCCTCTGCGAGGACAGATCTGCACGTTCCCTTCCCCCCCAATAGTTAGCAATCCGAAACAGTCCCGTGGAGCCTGAGCGGTGGGTGTTGCCTTCTGACACACTTCCGGTGATGGCAGGGGGTGTGGCATATGCAAATAAGTTATGCTAATGAGTTACGCTAATGAGCTCCTGCACCTCTTTTTCTATGAAATGACCCCTGATAATGCCATAGCGTCCCCCCTCCAAAGCAGCCATCTTCTCCAGGGGAACTGATAGGGTTGCCAGCCTCCAGGTGGGGCCTGGGGATATCCCGTTTTTATCACTGATCTCCAGCTGACAGAGATCAGCTCCCCTGGAGAAAATGGCTGCTTCGGAGGGTGGACTCTACGGCATTGGACCCTGTTGAGGCCCCACCCCAAACCCCACCCTCTCCCGGATCCACCCCCAAAGTCTCCAGGAATTTTCCAACCCAGAGCTGGCAACCCTAGGAACTGATCTCTGTGGCCCGGAGATCTCCCAGAATGACAACAGATCTCCAGGTGACAGATCTCCGGGCCCCACCTGGAGGTTGGTAACCCTACAGGAAATAGCTTTCTGATCTGGATTTGGGCAGGACCGGCTCCGACAGCCACAAATCGTTGGAACTTAAGAGTTAGAAACAGGGTGGCCAGTTTCCAGGTGGGGGTCTGGAGCAACGTTCCCTCTAAGCTGTAGAGTCCTGTGAGCAAAAATTCTACTTTGTAAGCTACCGGCATTAAAGTTGTGAGCAGGTGGTTTTGCTGCTGCATAAATTAGTGTGTTCTGGAGCCCTCCCTTCCTGAGCTGAGACAAAAATGTGTGAGCCGGAGGCTAAAAAATCTGTGAGCTAGCTCACACTAACTCAAGCTTAGAGGGAACACTGGTCTGGAGATCTCCAGGAGTTGCAACTGGGCCTCCAGACTTCAGAGGTCAGTTCCCCTGGAGACAATGGCTCCTCCCCTCCCACAAACTCACCCCTTCAGGCTCCACCCCACCCCCAATATCCAGGCATTTGCTAATTGGGAACTGGCAATCCTAAATGGAGATCAGCCAAATGTCCAGGCTAAGAGCCTAAGATTTGCCCCTCTGGGTCAGATCCAGACGCCCATCTAGCCCAGGACTTCCAGCAGTATCGGTGGCTACCAGCCATGGTCCACAGCCATGGTCCACAGTCAAGAAGCACGAAGCCTCTGAATCCCAGAGCCAGAAGCAACATCAGGGGAGGGCCTCGGCTTCTATGCCCTGTTGTTGGCCCTCCAGTGGAACTGGTTGGCCACTGTGTGAGACAGGAGGCTGGACTAGATGGACCACTGGTCTGATGTTCTTCTCAGGGGAAGGCCTTGGCCTCTCTGCCCTGTTGTTGGCCCTCCAGAGGAACCAGTTGG